GAGAGAACTTCGAAATGGCTCTGACTTCGATTTTGAGAGAGAACTTCGAAATGGCTCTGATGAATCACCGATCTGATGAATCACCGATCTGTTTCGCTGAGACCGAGCTGAATCTCTGAATCACAGAGCTGAACTGACAGAGATAATTAGGGTTTAGACAGCAGAGAGAGAGAGAGAGAGAGAGAGAGAGAGTCGCTCACCGATCTGAATCGATTCACCGATCTGAATCGATTTGGAGAGAGAACTTCGAAATGGCTCTGATGAATCACCGATGTAAGATCTTGGAAATGGCTCTGATGAACTTCGAACTTTGAAGAGGCTCTGATGAACGCTTACCGATCTGAATCGATTTCGATTTTGAGAGCGAGAGCGAGTGCGAGTGTGAGTGAGAGCGAGAGTGAGATTCAAAATAAAGGTGAAACAGGGAGAGGGAGCGTGTAGGACAAAACCATTTCAAGTCGTTTATAAACGTCTTCTATGCATAAAACGGCGCCGTTTTGATTAGAGAAAAATATGACGTTTATAAAACGCCGTTAAATATTACAAACAGTGACGTTTTAAAAAACGCCGTTAAAAATACGCCTCCAAAACTGATATTTCCTGTAGTGAGTATCGAATTCAGTATGGATTTGGGGCTACAATAGGCAGCCCAGCCATGAGAGATACAATGAGAATTTTGTTAGACGAATAGAACTACATGGGTATGTTGTACTTTAGAGTGTTGCAACTTCGGTGGTCATCTTTATTCCAATGACCATGGCAGTCTTGTAAAAAGAAGTGTTTGAACTGTAAGAAAATATGGTCTCTTAATAATGAGATAAATGCTAGGTTTATGCTTGGGTTGTGGGTGTCACTGTCCCTTAGGGTTTTTTAGCTTCCGAGGTAGTGGTTGTAGCTGGTAACGTCGTGCGCTATTGGGTTTTGGTTTGGTTCACCAGAAATGGCTTCTCGTCGCGATGGGTCGCTAATGTTGAGTTTGTTTTGCTCGCTGTTGATTCACAGGCGTGTGGTGAAGCTTTCACCAGAGCTGTTGCAAATGAATTGAGGTTGAGAACTATAAGAGGACAAGATAATTTGGCTATGATGGGTTGTCTGTGCTCTGGCCTCAGTGTATTGGCAGTATGATGGTCTCTTTTTTGGAGAGTATGGTGATGTCCATACATTGCTGATAGCACACCAAATGAGCATTGACCGGCTGCAAAGTTATTTATTGTTACTGTTATCACGTGGGGTGATGGTGGGAATTTAAAGTTATTTTAAATTCGGTTGGTAGCTGGTTTAGATAGCCCTCGGTTTTTGTTTTTCAAAATTAGAAGTGGATTGGTCTTTGCTTCTCAGTGTGTTCATATTTTTTTTTATTATTATTATTATTTTTTTTTTTTGGTGTAGGGGGTGTAGGGGTGTCCATTCAATTGGGTGTAATGTTTAAGGATAATTTTGATATTATTTGGGGGTGTAAAGAAATTTTTAGGGTTTTAAAAATTATAAATGGGGGTTCAAAGAAATAGGGGGTCCAAATTAATTCTTGGGGTGCTAATAGCACCACCCTTTATTTTTTAAGTAAATCTAGATTGACCCAAGGCAATTGTCCAATTGGTCATGAAAATAGCACTTAGGTGTCAAGATGAGTGAGTTTTCAGTTTCGAGTCTAAAAAAGTTTTTTTTTTTTAATTTTAAAAATTGATTAAAGCACAGAAAAAAAAATATCGATTAAAAACTCAAAACCAAACAGATTGAGTGTTCCCACAGCCACAAAAGATTAGATTTGGGGATTATTGTTTCAAAAATTTGAAAGAATAATGCTTGGGACCCCCTTTTGGGGGTCACCCCCTCACCCCCTTTGCCACGTGGCAGGGGGTGATTGGAGGAGCAGGAAAAAAAAGAAAAAGAAAAAGAAAATGTAACCAATGAGAGAGAGAGGGGGTCAAAGGGGGTGGGGGAAAAGGGGAATGAATCATTGTTGTTATTCTAAATGTCAACATTTTGTAAAGTTAAAAATATATTTTTAAATATATATCTACATAACACAGATTCGTTGCCAGTGTATATGTGTGTGTAAGAATAAACTTTCCGGAATAAAATAAAAGCAGAAACCTTAAAATGTAAGAAGGATTTTTTATTGATAAATTTTATTTAGAGGTGTTCTAACTCAATAAATCCATCAAGAAAAATTATAACTTAGTTAGTTCCATGTATTTATATTTTTATTCTATGAGGTTATTTTTTGCTGATTTCACTACAGGAAATATGGATTTAGGTGGCTTTTTTTAATAGCGTTTTTTTAAAACGTCACTGTTTTTAATATTTAACGGCGTTTTATAAACGTCTTATTTTTGTCTTATTTTTCTTTAATTAAAACGGTGCCGTTTTATGAATAGGAGGCGTTTATAAACGTCTTCAAATGCGTGTTATCTCACGCGGGTCCTTTTTCAAATTTGAGAATCTCAACTCTCAAATTGAACCGATGCACTCGCAAATACTCTCTCTCTCTCTCTCTCTCTCTCTCTCTCTCTCTCTCTTTCTCTCTTGTCTAAACCCTAATTATCACAGAGATTCAGTTGCTTATCAATGGAATCCTTAGAAATCGAAGTTCTGTCTCGAAATCGAAGTGATTCATCAGAGCGATTTCGAAGTTCATCTCGCGATTTAGATCAGTCTCAGCGATTCAGATCTCGAAATCGAAGTTCATATCTCGAAATTTTAAAATTCAGAGTTCATATCGCTTCGCTTTCATATTGCGATTCAAATCTAAGTTCATATCACTTCGATTTCGATTTAGATCTGAGTTCATATCACTTCGGTTTCGATTCAGATTGTGATTCAGATCTCAGCGATTCAGATCGGTCTCAGTGATTCATGTCTCAAAATCGAAATCGAAGGTCATCTCAGCGATTCAGATCGGTGAGCTCCATTCTCTCTCTCTCTCTCTGTCTCCCCATCTCTTTCTCTCTCTTTGTGCTGTCTCGCAGAGGTTCCCTAATTATCGCAGAGATTCAGCTTGTTGATTCAGAGGTTCAGATCGATCTCGGCGATTCAGATCGGTGATTCATCAGAGCGATTTCGAAGTTCTCTCTCGAAATCAAAATCGAAATCGAAGTTCATCTCAACGATTCAGATTGGTGAGCGCCACACTCTCTCTCTCTCTCTCTCTTAAGGTGAAATTGATCCTTTGATATTCTATGAATGGTTTTGATGTTTGATTTGATATGATCCTGTCATATCCCTCATTTATCAACCTATATGTATTGACCCTTTCTCATCTATAAAAATTATACTAATGCCCATTCTAAAAATTATGGGTAGGTAAAAAACCCCTAGTTTTGATTTCTATATTGAATGATTTGCAGGAAGAGATAGAGCTTGGACTTTCCAATGTAAGAGTTCAATCATTTCCTATATCATTCTCTTCTCCTTCAACTTTATTAGTGTTTCTAAAGATGCAAGCACAAGAACCTTATTCTTGTTTTGTTGATTTATTAAATGTCATGTCATTGCAACTTTATTACTTTTGTTTTTGTAATACATCCTTTTTCAATTGTAGTAAAGTTATTATCAAGTATATCCATCCTTAATGTGCTGCTAGTTGTCTATATCTACTATATCTGTCTGCTGCCTAACATTTGGCCAAGATTATTTTCTAGACACAGGCTTGGTTATGTTGTGCTAAAATATGTTCTTTCGATTAGGAAGACTTTCTAATATTTTGGTATGAAAACTATGTGCAAAATGTAATGTCCTTCAATAGGAGGACGTAATGTCTTGTGGTGATGTTCTATGAGCTTATAGTTTTGAGGGTTTATTTGTCGAAACAAATGGCAGTTGATGCCATTCTTGACATGATAGAAAGATGGCTTCTTATCCTCTCATCGGTCGGTGCGAGCTCAAGATCGCCACCATGGGTATTTTTTGGGTGATTTTGATACGATTTCTTATTGGATTGTTCTGTTTGTGATTCCGTGTTCTAATGTGGTTTCTACTGATTTGGTTATTAAAAAAATGGAAATCAAATGCTATTATTTATTTTATTTTTTTAATGGGGATCGCTAGAGCTTAGATGTTAGTTTTTGCGGGTGTTGCGATTGATGGAAAAAATATGATTTATGGATTGATATGATGTAGGAGACCCGGATGTTGATGGTCTCAGATGTTCAGGACATTATTAAAAGGCATCAATCACAGATCATCACCTCCTTGAAGGATCTAGATATCAAGTTAGTTTAAGTGCTTCGTAGTTTTAAGTTAGTGACAGAGCTAGGCTGAGAACTAGAAACATTCTCAACCAGCATATGTGGACCTATTTAAGTCAGTTCCTTGGTTTCCTCAGGTATAGCTGCACCAACTCCAGGACAGGCTCGAATTAAACTAGCATTTTTGACTTCTCTAATCGTCTGTAGTGTATCTCTCTTTTTCCAACTCATAATTGACTTCTCTAATCATTTCTACAGTTATATTGGTACAGAAACAATATGAACCTTTAGCACTAGTTGTAAAATTGTCTAGTTATAATATAGGGAGTGATATTTCTGAAATGGTGGCAAAAGGTTGTGCACAGAAATGATCAATATATAATTAGGAAGTACATCCAATCTTCATTTGTCCGAATATAATGTTTATGGTTATGTTTGTTTTGGTAGATTGGATTATTATATGAGATTTTTGCTTGAAATTAATAGTTATGAGATTATCAATATCCTAAAATTATATATTTTATTTCACGTTTGAAATGTCCTTGTATTAGGAGCAAGATTAGTAGAATTCAATCCTATCTCATGTTAAGTTAAAATTGCCAGACATGACCATGGTTTAGTTTTAGGGTAATTGATCATGGGTACTTTTATTTTATTTCATTATATCCCATTTTTATTGAGGGTTAATGTGTGACATTAGGGATGAGGACATGTTTGGCATATTGAGGGTTAATGTGAATATTGGTGCAATAAGTTAGAGGGTTAATTGAGAATGTGGGTGTAATAAGTTAGATTTTTTTTTTATGTAAATAGAAGTTTTTTTTTCTTTGATCTTTTACAGCTATTTGAATGAGAGTTATTAAGATATCCAAAATCCAAAAATCATGTTTTAACATTAACCACAAACTAACATATATCCAAAAATCATGTTTTAACATTAACCACAAACTAACATATATCCAAAAATCGTTTGTGATTTTGTTTCTGTATTTTTTGTTTTTGCACCCATTGCAGTGTTAGACACACACAAGTCTACTGGAGAGTGAGTTTGTTTCCTTTGCTAACTTCCCATCTTGCTTTACAGATGTTCAAAAGATCCATTTCAGAGACGACATTAGAGCGAATGTCTGGTTTGTTTGGATCGTTTTCAATTCTTCAACCAAAGGAGGGGAAAAAAAGGTATAATAGAATAATACTTGCCCTTATTTTTGGTGATGATGAGCATTTTGTAGCATGCATCCCACATTCTAATGACCACTTTATACATGACAAGGATGTGAGCATGCAGTATTCATGTTCTTTCTATGCCATTTAGCAAAAAATGATCGGCATTTGTCGCAATTGAATAACACTATAAGCTCATTAGATTTATTCTTGATACGTGGTATGCTTCGATACTATTTAGAATCGTTTTTTAATATGTTATTAAATTAAGCTATTAGAGATGCTGTAATGTTTTCTTGTATTTTAAAGTAATTGATATTCCGAATCTATGACTTTATTCAGAGTTGTTTGTATGTCTGTTAGCAAACCATTTGACATAAATTTGGTAGTTTTTTTAAAAAGTTATTTGTGCTTTCTTCCTGCCTTACAGGATATGTTCTGGCGACTTTAGATTCTAGGAGGGAGAAGTCTAGTTCTACCAAAAACTGCAATGTATTTTTAAGGAAAATTGATTTTCTTGTTTATTGTGTCAGTGGTTTCATATAATGCATTGTTGACATCATTGAAGTGGGCTCTTCTTTAGTTACAGGCACATTGCGTAGGCAAAGCAGTGGGGAAGAAGTTGGATCAAGGTATGGCGTGTATGTAGAAAAAGATGCAAATGTGGTCATTACCTGTTTGGTTGTTTAATATTCCTTCTATTTTGTCTTCTGCTTTCATTTGCAGGAGAACAGAATGTTCTTTCAATCCTTCAAAGCTTCATCGAAATGCTTCTGCCGCAGCTAATATGAATAACCTTGCTTCACAATCCTCTTCCGCAAATCCAGGTTCTTTTGGAGTATTTTATTTTCAAAGAGTATATGATTTATAGTAGTCCTATTTACTGTTAAGCATGAATAAAACATTTTTGCTACTTATTGGTGTAACAGATCTAATTGAATATTTTTTTAAATATGTTGTAATTGCAATACCCCACATAATTCACATGGGTGGAGAAGGAAAGTAGCATTATTCTTATTCGGCCCTTCTACCTAATCATTTTTAGGTTCACCTAAAAAAGTATCAGAGTCATGCCACATTGATCTACACATCTTTGTCTCCAAATTGACCCAAATAGAAATACTCAAAAATTGTCTTTTATCTCTAAGAAAGCTGCTAGTTTTTATTTTTATTTTTTATGTCCAACAAATTAGGAATGAACTCTTATTGGAGAGCCATTTGGACTTCTAACAAAAACTTAATGAACCCTTCTACTAGCTAAAAAGTTTATTGGACTAGTTGTGGTAGAATCCTCATATACGCAAAAAACCTATGAAGGAAACCTCTGGCATAAGAGGAAGCGACATGTTCTTTTTGTTGAAAGTGAGAACTTCAACATTTTATCATTGAGTTGGTAACAGGACTTTGTAGTTGGTGATTCCGTTCAGAAAAAATATTTAGTAACCATATCTTATGCAGTATGAAGTAATTCAAGTGTCTCATTCATATTTTAACAGTTTAATCAATAATGGACTTCGGGCTAATGAAGCAGTTCATGTAGGAGCATATTGCCTGAAATCATCTAACAACCTAGCTGTTGCAGTAGCTAATTCTTACTAATATTTCTGATTTGTAGTTCCTCTGAAGTGCACAAGTAGCTCTTTTGATGAGAAGCTTCTTGTACAGATACTTTACAAGGTATTGTCTGCCAGACAAATCAATCCCATAGTTTTTGGCGGATTAGAGGCTATATGCCTTTTCTGTTTAAATGTATTTTGACTTTATATAGATGTTTAGCTGATTATGTGGCATGATTTCTGGGTTATTGATGGTCTGACATGGCTGACACGATTTTTGATTTCATTGACAGGTCCTGTTTTCAATATCAAAAACCAATCCGATCGTGCTGTATCTTAGGGATATTGAGAAGCTCCTTTTTAGGTCGCAAAGGATATATAACTTGTTTCAAAAAATGTTGAACAAACTGTCACGGCCAGTGTCGATCCTTGGTTCACGAGTTGTGCATGGAAACGACTATGGACAAGTGGATAAGAGGCTTACTGCTCTGTTCCCTTACAATATTGAAATCAGGGAACCCGAAGACGAAACACATCTTGTCAGCTGGAAGTCTCAACTTGAGGAGGATATGAAGATGATCCAATATCAGGACAACAAAAACCACATTATTGAAGTACTTGCAGCTAATGACCTTGACTGTGATGATCTGGGTTCAATCTGTGCAGCAGATACGATGGTTCTTGGTAACTATATAGAAGGAATTGTAGTATCTGCAGTCTCTTATCATTTGATGAATAACAAGGATCCTGAATACGGACACGGAAAGCTAGTTATTTCATCCTCAAGGTTAGATTAGTATATTATTTATTAAAACAAGGTTAGATTAGTATATTAATTGGAGGCTAGTTATTTCATCCGCAAGGTTAGATTATTATATATATTGGCGGTTTCCTTACCATTCAAGCCTCGTTAACTTACTTTGTTGGTCATGGATCAGTTTGTCCCATGGTTTGAGCACATTCCAGGAAGGCAAGTCTTCTGGAAAGGATACTTTAAAGTTAGAAGCGCAGACTGAACCTTCTATGGTTGTGCATATGTTTTTTCAATAATCTGATAGTATGGAACGTGAAGAGTATTTTCTTGATGTCCTCTTTTTGTTGTGTCCTAGGATGCACCAAAGGATGAGGCTGTTGCTGTGAAGCCAGAAACAAAAGTTGGAAGCACAGTCCCTGAGGCATCAGCTTCAACAGTGAAGGATGCTGGTAACTCAGCGCCAGCATCAAAAGCTCTGGTGGGTTAGATTTATTATTTCATTTCTGAGATTTCTTTGTTAGGATTTACTTATTCTCTACCATTGGTTCTACAAGTGGCTATGTATATATGCCTGCACCTGCACCTCTGCATTCCATGTTAAAATTGCAGATACTTTTTTAGTATTTAATTAATCAACTGAAGAATCACTGGCATTCTTTCAGGCATATAATATATAGACATGTAGATCGATTTTTCTTAGTTTTGTGAACTTAACATGAAGTTTATGATGACCATCCGTCTCTGTAGTGTTTATTCTTCTCATGTTCCCTTCTTTTCTCATCGTGGTGTTTGCTTATACCAAGAGATTCCTCCTGACAATGAATTTGAGAAGCGCACAAGGCCAGAAGTCATACCAGCTAGTGAGATCGGTGTGACATTCAAAGATATTGGTGCTTTGGATGATATTGAGGAATCTCTCCAAGAACTAGTGATGCTACCTCTTCGAAGACCAGACCTATTCAAGGGAGGCCTTTTAAAGCCACGCAGAGGAATATTGCTATTTGGGCGCTGGGAAGACAATGTTGGCAAAGGCCATTGCCAACGAGGCTGGAGCAAGTTTCATCAACGTGTCTATGTCTACTATCACTTCAAAATGGTTTGGTGAAGATAAGAAGAATGTTCGTTTGTGGTTAATGTTAAAACATGATTTTTGGATATATGTTAGTTTGTGGTTAATGTTAAAACATGATTTTTGGATATGTTAATTTTGTGGATAATGGTGATTGGATATTAATTGAATGAGAAAGTGAATTAATGCTTCATTACAACTATTTGAATGAGAGTTATTATTTTATATTAGTGTTATTACTGGTATTTTTTTAGTGCAATCAAATAAAAATAGCACAATTTCAAAAAAAAAAAAAAAGGATATGGCGGCGTTTCTACAAACGCCTCTTAAACCCTATATCTAACGGTCAATTTTTTTTAAAAAAGATATGACTGCATTTTTTCAAAACGTCGCTAAATATCGTCAGTGACGTCAGCGTGTGTTTAGTAGGATATTTGGCGGCGTTTTTAACGCCATAAAGCTATAGCGACGACCACGTTCTCGGCGTTTTGTGCTAAGCGTCGCAAAAATAATTGGCAGCGTTTTGGTCACTTTTAGCGGCTTTTTTTAAACGCCACTAAAATTTGAATTTCCTGCAATGTTTATATTGTTTGGTGGAACTATTATATCCTTATGTCTATTGTTGATATATATTACATAGAAAAAATATATACACATTTTCTTTTTAGTAGTTACTATTATTCACATTTTTCTTTTTGAGCAGTTTCATTCACAAATTTGTAGTATTGTTTTATTGTGCTAGGATTTTGAAACTCTATTTGGTAGGGTTTAGAAACTCTAGTTAACACATGGTGGTGAAATAATATTATGTTCTTCCATTGTTGCGGTGAAAGTTTGTTTTATTCCATTGTCACTTTGTGTTCGAAGTTCTGTGTTCGTCTATTATTGTTCTGTGATCAAAACTCTATGTTTCTCCATTGTTGTAAGTTGAAGCTCTATTTATGTCCAGTCAATTTTGTTACAAACATATTCTTCAAAGGTAGGTTTAGTTTGATTTGGATCGGTGGAATGGTAAAATTGCATAGATTGTTAATGATAGCAATAATGATAAACATGATGATGAAGATGATGATGTGAGTGATATTTTTTGTTTTAAAGAGATTGAGTTTTTTTTTTTTTTTCTCTCTATTGCTACCATTGTTTCTGTTTTTTTTTGTTAGTGTGAATATTCACATTTTACATTTTTTTTGAAAGTTTGAGAAATAAATGTTGGAATATAGATATGGATATAATTATATATTTTGCAAGATATGAATGTTCACTTGATTATTTGTTACTATACTTGTTGCTTGAACAATCATTTTTTTGTTACCATTAAACAATTGAAATAGTCATTTTTTTCTTTCAATTTTGTTTCACGTTGAGTGTGAATGTTCACATTGGTATGAATTTAGTTTTTCTAAGGACAGTTGTATGTTAATTGTAAATTGTGAATATTCACATTATATTTTGGTATCAGTTTTTTTTTTTTTTTTTGAAAGTTAGTTGTATTTTGTTGTTGTTTTTTTTTATTATGCTTGTTGGTTAAACAATCATTTTTGTTACCATTGAACAATCGAAATAATCGATTTTCACTTTTTTCAATTTTATTTTGTATTTTCACATTGCAGTGCGAATGTTCACATTGGTATGAGTTTTTTTTTTTTTTAAACTAGTTGTATATTAATTGTAAATTGTGAACATTTACATTGTATTTTGATATAAGTTTTATTTTTTCGAAAGTTAATTGTATGTTTGTTGTTTTTGTTATGTTATTATACTTGTTAGTTGAATAATCATTTTTGTTACCATTGAACAATTGAAATAGTCAATTTTCACTTTTATCAATTTTGTTTTATGTTTTCATGTTGCAGGGTAAATGTTTACATTGCTATGAGTTATTTTTTTTAAGACAAGCTGTATGTTAATTATAAATTGCGAACATTCACATTATATTTTGGTATGAATTTTATTTTTCAAAGGTCAGTTGTATGTTTGTTGTTTATTGTGAACATTCACATTGTACTTTGGTATATGTTTTGTTTTTTTGAAAGTTAGTTGTATGTTTGTTGTTTACTGTGAATATTCATATTGTATTTTGATTTTTATTCAGATTTTTTATTGTGTTTTTTAAAAAAATTTAAATTATAAAAATGCTCAAAATTCATAATTCGATATTTTCTCTATGGAATGCAGAAGAAATTTTCTCCTTATAATAAGTGAGAGATTTTTTCCATGGAATAAGGGAAAGATTTTCTATTTAGAATGAATGAGAGATTTTTTTCCATAAAATGAGAGACTATTATTATGTATTAGTTTCAAAATAAAAATATATGTAAAAAATTAGAAATGATGATTTAGTCATATTATATTAAACTGGATTTAATAAAATACTTAAAAAGAATATGGGTTAGATGGAATTAAATATTTAGAAAGAAAATTTATCAAAAAATAACTCACGAAAGAAAGAGATAAAGCTTATTGAAAAAAACATTTAATGCAAATCAATGACAGGGTTGAGAACTAATCCAACTGCTTTATTTAAAAATAATAATAATTTAGTGCATAAATTTTTTGTTAAAGTAGAATAATGCAAAGACAATATTGATGGCTGCCATTTCTTGGACCAGTCCAATTCAATTATATAGCTAATAACGTGATGTATTAAATACAGTAGAACAACCCAATTTTGCATAATCATTGAAATGCACTTTGGTTGTATTACTTTCTCTTCTTATCTGTTCACATAAGGAATCAAAACACATACTTTACTAATAGATTTGCCATCCCAACATTAGATTTCTTTTATACATATAGGTGATGATATAAATTCTATGTCATATGTGTAAAGGGCAGCGTGAAGATAAGGACCACATGCATGAATGGATGAATAAAATAAATAATTAAATAAATACACACACATAAACATGTATATGAGATACAACATTACTAGCTAACCTTAACTAGATGAAGAAATAAGGTTGGAGGAGGGTTTGCCCCCCAAACCTTATACATGACAACAAAACATGCATTGCCCACTCTCCCTTCTAATAGGAAAACTCTAGAAGCTCTTGAGGAAGGGTAAGAAATTGAAGCTATTGATTTTCCCACGTTTCATAGCATGATCAAGACAACTTTCGCCCACTTTTCCCAAAGGCTTCGGACTATGCCAACAGCATTGTTGAAAGCCTTTGAAGGAGAGTGAACAACGGAAATGTTTCGGGTTTAAATCCATTGATACAGTTTAAAAAAAATAAGACATGACTTGTTCATTCTCCCTCAAGTCCTTCTAACCCAACCACAAGTACCCCTATATCTTGAGGTTGTTGGTAGCCCCAAGGCAAGGTCAGAAGTCCTTGAGGGAGAGTGAGCAACCAATGCCTTGAAGATCCTCCTATTCTCTTATTGGTCTTGAGCAATTTTGCTTGATAGACATGATTGGACCAGAAGCCCCTTATATAAGCCATAAAAAGTAAAAGATATAACATCTAGCAAATGTGGAGAAAACATGAGCCCATTTGGTGGGGTATGCATATCTTTGGCACTTGACATTTTGTGCCAAAACTAGATCCTAATGCTTCCCACAATGGTTTTATGATTAAAAAGTATGAATGGTTATCTTAAAGGATTAATATGTAGTACCAACTTGTTATATTTTATAAAGAATTAATATAAAAAAAAAAATAATTACAAAAATATGAAAGTGCAAATGGATCTATACATTGGTGCAAGTTAAAATTATAGTTTTATTTGCACCAAAGTATATATAGACTCTACATACACTTCCACATTTTTACAATTACTTCTATTTTCCATTGATTTGGAATTCCCTCTAATTTTATTGCCAAATACATATCTCAAAGTGAAGGTGAAGCATTTTTGATTTATCTGTAGATTATGGGGAAACCCATTATCATGAACAAATATCATGGTTCATAAGTAGATGATAGACCTTCCATTTGACAATCTATAAAGATATGCATCCCTATGATAAAGAAGATTGGCCCCTAAGAACTGCCACAAGGCAAATTATCATTTGATAATACAAAAGAATAAAGGGGCTTAGTTCTTAGGCATCCCATCCATATCTAACATTATGTAATTGCACAAATGATTCCATTTTGACATTCCTCCAATTAAAGTTCCTCACATTTTTCATTCAATCTCTATATCCAATAGCACATTATCAGAATCTTCTTGTTGAGTCTGTGGACACTAAAATAATCATTTTAGCACTTCCCAAACCACTTTGGAATAATCATTTTAGCATTTGACTTGCTAAAATATCTGATGAAATTGTGATATTTGCCCAAAATTAAAACAAAAAATAACAAATAAAAAATATATTTTTTCTTCTAATGAAGGTGACAATCAAAAGAATAATGCTATATAATACTATATACGGTTCATACAACAATTTTGATGTTTTCACTTAAAAACAAAAGTAATTTATAATTTCAAAAATATTACTACCTAAAAAAAGTTTTGATAATTTTTTTTTATATTATTACATCTAACCACCACCTTCAGCCACGTTGCCAGTGATCCTTTGACCACTTTTGATAGCCACGTCCTTTGGTGAGTAACCCCCATGGCCACTATATCTCTCTATCAATCGCCGCCTTAGGCTTCTGAAGACCCTTCATGTCACATCCTCTTGTCCGCGACCCCTTGTTTTCAAAAGTTTTGAAAACCATCAAACATATTGTTTCATTTATATTACAAATAAATTTAAACATATGCAATAAACATTACAAAATGGCACCTTAGGATCTAATATATTTAATACATATTATTATAAAAGTAGTAGTTGTCTTAATTTTTTTTTATTTGTCTCTCTTGTGGTGTTTACCTGACACTCTATTTAGTATTATATTTTTAAAGAATAATTTTTGAATGTGCAAGGACATACAATATGCACTTGTATAAATTCTAACAAATATATGTAAGTTATCTCACAAAATCGTGTAAATTTTCACAAATATACATAAGTTAATCAATAAAAATTTGAGAAATTAGAACTTACATATATATGTGAAAACTTTTGCTATTTTGTGAGGTAACTTGTATATATTTGTGAGAACTTATGTAAGTCAATATGGTATGCACCTTACACACCCAAACACTTCTATTTTTAAAATGTCTCATTGTGATATTGCACGTGGATAGAATATAAAATGTTAATAAAATGGACTATTAGAGAATTTTCAACCTATTAGGTATATAATGTTTGTTATTCAGAATACCTACTATAATCCACTTTTTTTTAACTATCACGCATTAAATATATGATTAGGCATTTTGTCTCAATCTAGATTCACTACTTAAATGTTGCTAGCTTTCAAAGGCAAAATGTATTTAATTCTTATGATTTTTTTCCTCCACCTTTGTTGATTATGTGGCATTTCATAAAATAAGTAGTATTTGAATAAATAATTAAAATAAAGAGTATGATTAGAATAAAAACATAAAAAAATAAATAGACAAAATAAAATATATACTTTATGGTAACTTTTGGATAGATAAATTGAAGATGCTCTTATTGGCCTCTTGAGCGTGAATTTTTGAGTAATGATAGTAGACCCATTCCATTTAAATCAGTAACATTACAAATTTAGGGAAAAAAAATTCAAAAGTTTACCAATAATTCAAATTATGTGAATAAGATTCACTATAGATATGCGATTCCACTAGGTAGCTTGAAATATACAAGGCTCGAGGCGTCAAAACGACGTCGTTTTGACATCTCTTTTTTTTTCTTTCTTCTCCTTTCTCTGTCTCTTCTGCTATCTTCTGCTCCTACCTTCCGCTCTCCGATTCATCAATGGATTCTCTCATCTCTCTCTCCCAAACCTCCCATGCTTCACCTGATCTTCACCATCATCTTTCTTGGCCAATCTTTGTAACCCAGGAATAATCTCACTTGTTCTTTTTTTTTTTCCCTTTCCTTTGCCCTCTCTTTTGTCTTTGAAACTAGTAATAAAGGCGAGAGAAAGAGAGAAGAGAGAGGCACTACAAAAAAAATTGTTTTTTGCGACGGCAAAACGCCGTCGCAAATAGTCCGAACGCCATCGCTAATAGTTTTTTGCCACGGTAAATAGTTTTTTGCAACGGCAAGTGGGGGGTCGCAACAAAGGGGGTTGCAAAAGGGCTTTAGCGATGGCAAGAGCCGTCGCCATTGTTTTTGCGACGGTAAAAAAAATTTTTTGCGACGGCAAACTTCTGTCACCAAAAAGCTACGAAAATCTGATTTTTTTGCGACGGTAAAGTCTTGCCGTCGCTAAAAAAGTTTTTCTCGACGGCCAAATCCCGTCGGTAAAAGTATCGTCGCTAATGACAATTGGCGACGGCAACCTGAGCCGTCGCTAAAGGTCTTATTCTCAGTTTAATTCCTACCTTTTGCGATAGTATTTGAGCCGTCGCAAAAAACATGCTACCATTTTCTTTTTGCGACGGGGGAGCTCCGCCGTCTCAAAAAAAAAAAATTTTAAAAAAAATCCCTGTATTAAAATAATTAAAAATATAAAAAAAACCTGTATTAAATGAAAAATAACTAAAAAAAAATCTAAAAATTACATAATAATATAAATACATACATAAACAAAAGTTGGCACATGATGAACATTCATAATGTTGTTCCATTCATAACAATACATAAATAAAAATTCATAACAATAAAAATTATGCCACTACATAATGTCGCATAATACATACATAATGTTGTTCACAAATTTAAATAACATAAATCAAAATCAAAACCAAAAGTTTTCGTCTTGATTCTTTCGTGGGTTACAAAAACAAAAGTTGGTCATAATCTTTATACGCCCGCATTCCACAAGAAGCAAACTGCTACTCAGGAAATATCTGAAAAAAATAAAATAAAAATAATTAATAACAATATAATGGTATTAATATTTTAATTACAGAAAAATATAAAAAAAATTAACTACTATATAATTACAAAGATAGTAGACAAAGAGAACTAATGGAAGAAATTCACAAAAATAGCAAAATTTAGTGATGAGGTGAAACTGCATGGCATTCTGAAATGTACTGATCATTTTTGGTAGCTGTGGCCTCAAATGTTTTTTTTTTTTTTTTTTCTCTTGATAAATATGGCCTTGCTTACATGTTAGAATGCCATATTTAGCTATTGGCTATGAATCTATGATAAAAGTATGCCTCAGGCAGTTTACATTTCAAAGAGTCTCCAACTTCACTTGTTGAAGGGAATGATAAAACGAATACCATGAGCCACATTGCTTAAGGGAGGCTCTCTCAGTCACTAAACAATTTTAACCTATTAGCCATGCCAACTGGCACTGGGAATGTAGAAGACGGTGTCAGTTAGAAACTGAAGATTTTGGCTTTGTTTGGCTTGTGCTAAAATAGCACATACATAATACATGTTATTTTTTATTTGGTCACAATCATTTTATTTGAGTCATTTATCTCTCTACTACATCACTTTAAACTCAATTTATATTTCACATTTTGTCGTAAAAAGTTAAAAAATATACTAATATAATACTTTCCAAACAACCTCAAATCTACCAAAAACAGCCAAATAAATTTAAGTTATTATTTGAGAAATTTATTATCAACAATGATTCATCCCCCTTTTCCCCCATCCCTTTTGACCCCCTCTCTCTCATTGATTACATTTTCTTTTTCTTTTTCTTTTTTTTCCTGCTCCTCCAATCATCACTCGCCACGTGACAAAGGGGGTGAGGGGGTGACCCCCAAAAGGGGTCCCAAGCATTATTCATTTATTATTTACATCTTTAAAATACAAATAACACAATGTTTTAAAAAAATTATTCTTGAATCACGTGGGCCAGTTGTAAAAAAAAAAAAAATAGTACAATCATTTTATTTGGGTCATTTATCTCTCTACTACATCATTTTAAACTCAATTTATATTTCACATTTTGTCATAAAAAGTTAAAAAATATACTAATATAATACTTTCCAAACAACCTCAAATCTACCAAAAAGTAGCCAAATAAATTTAAGTTATTATTTGAGAAATTTATTATCTACATCTTTAAAATACAAATAACACAATGTTTTAAAAAAATTATTCTTGAATCACGTGGGCCAGTTGTAAAAAAAAAATAATAATAAAAAAATAAAATAAAATAAAATTGGACTGGGCTTAGAAAGGAAAGGCCAGCCCAACATTGCTGGTGGAAATCCTCTATTTCCGCGCGCAATTGAGGTTTTTGGTTCCTCGGCTTCCTTCCTCTCCCTCTCAACACTTGATTGCTTCAACTGTACTTTTGCAGTGCAGTGACCAGACCAAAATTAGGGTTCGAACAGAGCTAATGGCTTCTTCTTCACGTCCTGCGAGGCGTAAACGCAAGAACCAGAACAAACATGAAGAAAATGAAGAACCTAATGACAATGCAGAAACACCAATTGACAGCTCACAAAATGATTCAAAGAAGAAGAAGAAGAAGACGACGACGATGCCTCCATTGGTGGTCTTCGCTCATGGTGCTGGTGCCCCTTCCTCTTCTGATTGGATGATTAGGTCTTCTTTCTCATCTTCTCTCACCTACATATACAAATATATATATGCAAATAATTTTTTTTTTCCCTTCCCTAGAAAAAATAGTTTTCTGATATTTATTGTTTTATTCTCTAGATTTGCTAAGAAATCAAACAAGGCTGTTATTAACGGGAGTAGCTCCCTCCAGACTCCATTTAATGGGCCTTGTGGGCCTTATGACGGTGATTCGAGCCGGTCATCGTCTCGAAGAGAAAAATATATATGTAAAAAATTAACATATAGATAAATGAGCAATGGTAGAGGGCCACAAAAAGTGTGATTCAAATGGCTGACGTCGTTTTGACAATTTTGAGCCATTTGAGCCACACTTTTTGTGGCCCTCAAACATTTTTCTAGATAAATATATTAATTTGTTGTATTTTGTTTCATAAAATATACGGTTTTAATTTAAAATCATATTTACAGTTAATTTCTATTTTCATAAAACAAAACATAATTAGTTACGCTGTGTTTGGTTGAGGGATTTGGAAAGGGAAAGGGAAAAGGTGTGTGAAACTATGTGAAATGGAGGCATATTTTTTTCACATTTCACCTAACTTTTTCATTTCTCTTTCTAAATCCCTCCTCAAATCCATCAACCAAACACAACATTAGTGTGTTTATCCATTTCTAATCAAGTTTATGAGATGAACGGTTGTGGAGCCCCGGAGAGCTCTTCGGCCATGTTTGTTTGGCGGATTAGATTCGATGGAATTATTAGTGAGATAATAGTTAGTATAGGGATTGTTAATATGGGGACTACGGATTAGGTTCAATCAGATTATTAGTGAAAGGATAGTTAGTAAAAAGATTGTTAATGTGAAGATTATTAGTAAGGTGATCAAGTAAAGATGTAAGGGAATTACGTAAAATTGTGTTTGTTTTGATGATAATGTGGGAGATGGTTAGTGATGAGATTGTTAAATTATTTTTATATAAAATAAATAAATAAATAAATTATTTCTATATTAAAAAAATTTAAACAAACAGGTACACTTGGTAAAATAAAATAAAATTAAAAAAATAATTTTTTTTTTATATAAAATAAACTCAATCCTCTCCTTATTTTTTTAATCCCACCAAAAACTCAGTCAAGCTAATCCCTTATTGAGGGGGATTATTAAGTCTCTTGATTATCAATCCGCCCTCTCATTTCACTACCAAACATGCTGTGGCCTTGTGGGTAGGACCCACAACCATAGTAGTCCAATCTGGCCACTCAAGTGTCGAAACAAACATGGCCTTCAGGATTATGTAGAAGATGGAGTCTTTGAGGGGAGCTACTCCCGTTGTTAACCCCAAGGGATAGATGAGATGGGCAGGAAAGTCTTGGGTTTGGGCCATCCCCTTGTGGCATGTTTGGATCTTGTAATTGTTGGGGAAAAGGGATGGGAAACATAGGAAAAGGAAAAGAAGTGATATATATATATATATATGTATATATATTTTGTGTGTGTGGTTGGGTTTGGATGTATTTGTCAAAAAATATTCAATTTTGTTTTGTTTGTTATCCATAAAAATGAATCACTGCTGTAGAAGACCTGGAAAAAAGAACAAACAGAGCTTTCTTATCATATACTTGTTGGGTCTATTTCTCTTTGTAGTGTTCAGTTTCGTTTTCTATTTTCAGATTAAAGAATCAATGTTGGCATTTATGGCAAACCTTAAAAAGGATCTCTTTTATGCACATTACTTTGTGAACCAAATGAATTGATCAGTGCAATTGATGCATTTACATGTGCGAACCTACATTTACCCTTTTATGATGTGAATGGAGAGACTAGTCATCATCCATTCTTGTAATGGTTTGGTTATTGGACAATGAAAGATCGGTAACTGTTAAAAATAAATGATGTATAGATTGTTGTAGATTCTGTATTTGTTGACTTGTTCTTATTGTTAGAATAAATGTTATGCATTGCTTGAAACACATAAAAATGAAGGAGATAACATAACAAGAGATTTTCTCAGAGTCATGTATCTCCCAAAAATTTGAACATAAAGAACATACTTTAATATGTTTTGCAACATTTTGTTTTTTATAGAAATATAATCCCCTAAGTTGTGCAGATGGAAGGGCAAGTTGGCCAAAGGGTTGCAGGCTGTTGAAGTTGTGACATTTGATTACCCATGTAAGTTAATTAACCAATCACTGCAGTCCTTTACCCAGTATTTGTTTTTTGATATGGTTGAAAAGTTTGTTTAGAAATAATTGCTGCAGCGAGTTGAAACCAGTGGCAGTGACATTAAATATCAAAAATATTATTTTAAATTTAAAAAAATTATTTATGACCTCCCAAAAGATAAAATTATATAAAAATGATTAGTATTTTTTATTATTTTTATTTCTTTCACCAAATTAATTTTTAATTTTTTTAATTTTAATTTTAATTTTAATTTTTTTTATTTTTCTGAAAACCGAACCAAACATGGCCATCTAATATTTCAACAGTTCAACTGTAAAGGCTATTTGATACTCAAGATAATCAATTGACTTAATGGCTCATAATAAGTACTCAAGATAGTCAATTTTAGTACTTGTCACCTACAGGCTCTGCAAAATTGATTAATTGAATTTACTCTTGACAGACATCTCTGGTGGAAAACGAGGGGCTCCTCCTAAGGCAGAAAAATTAGTTGACTTTCATGTGGACGTTGTCAAAAAGGCTGTAGCGAAGTACCCTGAACATCCACTAATTTTGGTTGGAAAATCCATGGGTTCAAGGTAATCATTACTGTACATTTTAGTGAAACAATTATGCATGCACTGAAGTGTTCATACATAGCCCAAGAGTCATTATGATAATAGGTATTTTCTAATCTAAGAAGCACGGATGCATGCACTGAAATGTTCATACATAGCCCAAGAGCTATGAAGCACGGATACTTCAAAAAGGGTGACGTATCTGTATCGGATACTTATCAGATACCGATACTCCTCGGATACTCGCGGATACGTATCGGATACTTTTTAAAAGTATCGGATATTTCTTAATTAATTTTTTATTAATTTTGAAGTATCGGATACTTAATTTTAA